CTCATCGACGGGTACGACGGCGCCTCGGCCACGTTGCACATGCCCTGACCGCCGCCACCGCGCTGGAGACGCATGTAGCCGCGCTCGCCCCAGCCAGTGCCCCACGAGTTGCGGATCTTGAAGTAGCTGCCGCCGTCCGAGCCATACCCGACCGCAATGACCGCGTGGTCCGACTGGCCGCCGGGACACGACTTGACAATACCGCTCTTGTAGTTGCGCCACACGTTGTTGCCGGCCTCGACGACGACGGTCACCGGTTGCTTGTCGAGCGCCGACTGCAGCGCGCTCTCGCCACGAATGTCGACGGGCGCACCGACGCTGAGCTTGTTCTTCTTGCAGTTCTGCTTGCACTGGCTGTCGCTCTGCGTGTACGGAAAGTCGGACGACGAGCACACGCCCGTCTGCGCAATGTACTCGAGGGCCTTGTTGGGCCAGCCGCCCTGGCAACCCTGACCCGCGCTCGACGCGCAGCTCACGAGCTGCTGCTCCGAGAGGTCGATGAGCTGACCCGTGACGAGGCAGTGCGCCATCGCAGACGCACCGACGGCCGCAAACGACCAGCACGAGCCGCAGCTGCCCTGGTTCTTGATGGCCGGCATGCACTTGCCCGTCGTCCAGTCCTTCCCGCTCGCCTCGCGCTGCGCTGGCGTGAGCTGGAGCTGGATGTTTTCACCGCGGAGCTGGCGCTTCTTGGGGGGCGACCCGAACGCGCCCTTGACAAACTTTTCAAACTCGGCGTCCGTCATGAGCGCAAACTGGTTGTCCGTCGAGAAGGTCGCCGACCCGTTGTGCTCCTTGTTGAGGTCCGCGACGACCTTCTTGGTGTGGGCAAAGCGCGTGAGCTCCGTCTCGAGCTGTTCGTGCGCGTTGAAGCTTTCGGTGCGCGGCTTGGGCGGGAGGAGACCCTGGACGACAGCGGCCTTGCCGGCCTGGCTCTTCTTCCACGCGTCGAGTTCTTGGAGGAGCTCGTTGCGCTCCTTGTTGGTCATCTCGAGCGCGGTCGCCGACGCCGCGAGAAGGGCGGTTGTGAGGAAGATGGACTTCATGGCCAAAGGGGAAAAGGTAAAATGGATCTCCGAGATCACCACATCAAAAGTCGATCTTGACACACATATGTTGGTGTCGTCTGCCTCTCTGTTTCGAACGTTCTGACTGGACGCGCCATCTGTTGTCCGCGTCGGAAGGATCATGTCCTGGCGATTTGCAGCCACTTGTGTGCGACTCGACGCCACGACGAGGCGGTCGTCGCCGAGAGGACGTGCTGTGTCCACAACGATCTCGGGCGTCTGAGAATCGAAGCGGCGGCGTCCGTCTCATGGTAGCGGCGTGTTGGTAGCGGCGATTCGAACCCTGAGCATGCATTGCACCAATGTCCGCAGTCGGTTCTTTGAGACGCAAGGCAGGTGCAGGAACTCTGCCCGGCGTATACACGTCAAGTTCGAATCTTGCATACTAGTATCGATGGTCTTGGTCGGGGACGGAGCTTCTGGCCACAGGACGGACGGGTTGACGAGGCCAAGAACTTGGACAGCGCATTTTCACACTATGGAGAGTGCGAATACTACGAGGCCTCAGGACATTAGAGGAAGCTACTACGTGCATTGTCGGGTGCATATCCATGATGGCAAGGATGAGCCGCAACTGGCTTGGTGGGATCCGGTCGCCTTCTTCGATCCGAATACTTATGGGCCAAAATGCAACAACTGCGTGCGCCGACGCCGACTGCAAAACGCGTGCTCTGCGACATGGCCGTCGTACAGTGCTCTCTATTTGGCTGAGCTGAATACGTGGTGGTATAGCAATGAGCTCGAGCAAAGGTGGTGATATTGGGCGGAGTAGGCGCCGAGCAAACCAGATCAGACTGGAGTAGAGGGCTTCAGCACGATGAAAGAGCACGCAGTAGGTAGCATCAAAACGGCAGGTCCTAGGGTCAATTCAGCTGGACTTGTACTACGTACGTGGTTCGCGCGAAACGTGGAGAAAAAGCGCTATGGGCGCTGGTGCAAAAGGCGAGAGCGACCATGGGGCCGCACAACGCCGACGGTCAGGACTGACCAAGTATAAGATATCGCCTTTGATATAGCGAGTGCGGAAGGTGTCCTTTATAATGCACATCTTACGGAGTGATTTGGGATGCCTACTACTGATTGGCTGAAAAGGAGAGAGTCAACCAATGAGAGGGCTGTACCAGTTTGAACTGGGAAACCGAGGACAGTTGAACCGGAAAGGAAGACGTTTCCTGTGCGTCGAGGATCGCTTCTAGCACGAAGCATTTTGGTGCTAGGCGTAGCAACTAGTGAAATATAAGAAATGATTTACATTGCTCATGAGAGAGCGCATATCTTATTGGAGCAGAGGCGTCGTGATTTGCTCACATGCGACTTGCTGCACCATCCGAGTCTTCGCGACGTAGCTTTGTGAGAAGCAAACGCGACCAGGGCGATAGTTTTAGGACCGAAGTTGCTACAGTGTTTTGAGTTTGGGGCCGGTAGGTCGCCTCGTGCGCCCCAACAAGGGAAGTTATTCCCTTGGTCTAACGCTCCATCAGACCATGCGTAGAGCTTATTGAGACTGATAGTCACTCGCCCCGTTAACAAGCCACCGTCACGACAGTCTTTTCGAGACGCCAAAGTGCTCCGAAGCCAATACGGTGCAGCGCCAGCCCTGGATCGTCCATCGTTCGATCGACTAATATGACTTAGAGTCTGCTCGACCTGCTTGTGCGGCTGCATTCCTTATT